ACGTGTTAGAAAATGGAAAGGATTGTCCCGTAGGAGTACACACGTCTGTAGGAGAAGAGGCCAGACCATGAACCTGTCCCTTGTGACCACTGAGGACGGGGCCAAACGTATATCTAGCAAGAGCAGTAAAGCTTGAAATGAATCGAGAAAAGGAAAGCGAGTAGAAAGCGAATAGATACCTGGAATGGGTGTTCCAGCACAGATGATCTCTCCACTTTGGTCTGCAGCCAATGACACAAACTGGGCGTGGTGAAGGTTCGATAGCACATCAGATCCCATGCACGTACAGGACCATCGAGAACAGCATTACTTCCCGCCAAGAACAACACTGCAGCCAGCCACTGCATTTGTGTGCTCATGCTGACGAAACAGGATTCAGACGCAGCATTCCACAACTGCAACACACGAGAAAGGCATAAGCGACGGTGCAAGAAGAGAGTCATCACAGCCAGACCTTTACTTTGTTGTCATCGGTGCCGCTGGCAATCAGCTGCGAATCCGGTGAATATGCAACACAGTTGACGTTGAAGTAGTTTTCCGGTCCTGCTGAATACTGCGGTGCTTATCTTCTCTTTGGAGATGGATAGCAGACGCATGCACATACGGTCGGGGACTTGGTAGATGCCAAACACTCCAGACAAGAACCCGGCAACCAGGATGTTGAGTCGCACGACGAGATCCTTCCAGTGGAACAAGTGCTGCTTGACAAGCTCCCACTGCCCTTTATCCGGACGTAGCTCCGTTTGCTGGCCATCGGATTCTTCCTGATTGGTAAGTGTGTGAAACCAAGAAGTCAAGTGATCCAAGCAAATACCTTGCGAAGCTACGTCTTCCTCAACTTTCCTTGATCGCCACCACCATCGAGCATGGGAGATGGAAGCTTTTGAGCCCCCAGTGACACAGCACGCCATCCTAGGGGTGAACATTGACAACGTTGCAGTGTGCAGAGAGCATGACTGGCCTGTATCCCTCTGCATTGCTCTGGAGCCTGAAAATCCTCACCAAGTCCTTGCAGCCGCAGATGATCCAATTGCCGTCGGGGCTCCAGTCGAGGCAAGTGATCGTGTCGTGTATGCTGGAGAAAGTGTGGAGCAGCTGGAATGCCATGAACTCCTTGCAACACCCGGGCATTCCACCAGCGGCAACAGCATTAGCAACAAGGCAAAAGCATTGCAAAGGGGAATCGAGCTAAAGTTTTATTAATTAGGGCTCTTGGGGTGGATCTAGCAAAGCGGTGAGAGATCATGAATCTTCTTATTCTCCTCCTGCTACTGTTTCCTCCTCTATTTCAGAGTGAGGATTTCATATCCCACCGTTTGGTGCTCCTTGAGTAGCGATTGGTGGTGGTAGAACAGCAATTACAAGAGCTGTTGAAGCAGTTGCCGCTGCCGCCACTGGTCCTGGTGGAGGTTCACCGGCTTGTTCAAGAGGCTATAGGTGAGAAAATGTGTCCAATGGTTGAGGAACCGTCCATGGTTGAGGAGAGCATGCTAGGTGAAGAGACACGATTGCCACCATTACCACCATGGCCACCACGACTGTCGCCACCGTCGTCACCACGATCACCACGACCATCTATACCACTGCCACTGTCCTCACCACCACCACCACAGGGGATGGGGACCATCACCAGCACCATCACCAGCATGATCAGTGGATTGGTATCATCATTTGTTGTTCCTGCTGTGGCCAGCACAGTAGAAATGTCTATCATACTCTGAAAGATGAAGGTATGTAATCATATGATTGTCTAATTTGGAGTGTAGATTGCTGCTACTATGACCACTGATCAGCAGCCCTAGCCTTGATCTAGCAGCAATCTTCTTTTTTTGTGAACTTTCATCTTATCACCCTGGCTCTTGTGCATTTGTCGAGACTGTAAGCTCTCGTGGATGCCCAAAAATTTGGCCAGGCCGGGGCTCCCAACAGTGTAGTTCAGGGTGGTCATGCCACTTTGCACCAAGCTCTTGTGGATCACTCCAGAGCTTCAACCCGAGCGCAAGCATTGAGAATGATCCTGAGAGTGAGATATTGTGAACGATCCTGAGAGTGAGATATTGAGAACGATCCTGACAGTGAGATAGAATGTCGGCCTTGCAGTGCTGGTACCTAGAGCAAGCCAAGATTGTGATGCAAGCAAGCTTCCACCATGCTCACCAGCATGTTTACCTCACAATCCCTGAGATGGCAGAACACGCCATGAGTGCCTTGATGATGGTCACCTCCCTTGCCTCAGCCTTGAACAAAAGAAGTGCGGCCCCCTGATGCCAGGCTTGGGCATATTGGTCCACGCTGTGGAAGCCCAATGTTATTTTGGATCAAATATGCTCTAACCCAAAAAATGAGAGATTCTGTTTTTGTCACAGTGATCACATTTTGCAACTCAATCAATCAACTAAAAGTTATTCCCCAAATTGAAAACTCTCTCACTTCGTTTTTGTTCCACACATAGCCAGCACATCACTCAATCAATCTCTAAGATAGCTTAGCTTAGCTTAACTTATCACCATCTTGCACAACGCCAAAGTTGGAATTAGATCACTTTGCAGCGAGCGAGTGTATATGGGTGTTGCGAATGCTCCAAGCCCAGGAAACGTTCCAGTTGCAGCGAGCGAGTATAGAAGAGAGCTATGGTTGTTGCGGATGCTCCAAGCCCACAGGAGCGTTGCTGAGATGAAGATCTCGGTGCTGGTGCTGCAAGTGCTCATGCTGGTGCTGATTGTCATTGCGCTCGCCCTCATGGTCACCAACAAGCAAACTCAATCCATTCCAATCAAGATCCCTGGCATGGCTTCCACGATCTTTCTCAAAAAGACAGCCACATTCTCGCAGATCACTAGAGTCCAGTAAAATTTTCAATGTCCTTTCTCTTCTTCTTCATTGCAAAAACCAACTCCTTTCATGGATCCACTCGCAGGTATTATGTTGGAGCTCTCTCTGTGCTTTTCACCTTTCTCACCGTGGAATCCTGATCACATTCATTTTTTGTCGCTAAAGGAGGCGTTTAGGCAGTTTGCCACCCGGGCAAGGTACTTGAGGCTGTACAAGATGCTGCCAGCAGTGAGAATTTGAGGTGCCGAGTATTTGATCCCGACTGTGCAGGTGGTGGTGGTGGTGCCATCAAGACGATGCCAGAGCTTGTAGATTGAAAAAGGGAAGCACTTTTTGGGTTCTGAGTTAAGAGACAATCTAGCAGCATGAAGCTTCTTTTCTTTTGTTTCCTCTTCTTTCTTGTTAAGATTTTTGACCACCGATTGGAGCAGCTCGAGCAGCAATTGGAGGAGGAGTTGCAGGCTACGTTTGAACCCCAATCGCCGCCAGCGACAGTGCCACCACCACAGCAGCAGTTGTTCAAGGGTCAACTATGGGGTCAACAAAGGAGCACTAAACATCAGCAGGAGACCAACTTAGTATCAGCAGTTACAGTAAAAAGTATAAGATTGTTGTAACCCGTAAGCATCATCATCCAGGCCAGCGGTCCAATGCTCTTGACCTTGGATCATCTTCAGTAAATATTACAAGCTGAGATGACCACTCAGTTCAACTCTGTGTTGCATTGTGACGAGCAGCAGCACATTGTCTAGCTGACTGTGGGGTGCAGCAAACCCCATAGTATCACATCTTGGACTTCCATGGTGTTTAAGACTCACCCATATAGATTGATAAGAGAGATCCTGATAGGACCACTTACTCCTCTGAAGGTTTGGTTTTGCAATAAAATTGACAGATATATTTAATATTTTTCCTATTTATCCTGTATGATATAAAAATAAAATTCTTATAAAAATATATATAAATATGAAATACAAAAATGTGCATATTAATTAACCTAAAAACCCTAGATTGGTCCAGATTGAAACCAATCTGACCACTATCAAAATCCCACCACACTAATTTTAGTGTATAAGTATATAAGATCATAGTTATACACTTAGACCTAATTGTGAGACACAAAATCCCTAGGCGCCAAAAGGGTGCCACGTGGTAGTGGCTGAAGTGAAAGCCAAACGAACATAATACGTTTGGACTAAAAGCTCCGACTTGAAAGGTCAAGAGCGGGAATGGAACTCCCAACAAAGTGTTTGAGGAACAAACACAAAACAAGCAATAAATGAGTCTCTAGAAAAGGGACACAAAAGGACCCAAGATGGAGTCCGAGATGGACCAAAATGAAGTCTGAGATGGACCCGAAATGGAGTCTAAGATGGACCCGAAATGGACCTGAGATGGACCCGAGATGGAGTCCAAGATGGAATCCGAGAAGGACCTGAGATGGAGTCCAAGAAAGACCCGAGATAGAGTCCAAAGTCTAGATCAAGACCGAGACCGAGACCGGGACCAAGACCGGGACTGAGGCCGAGGCCGAGACCGAGCCTAAGCCCGAGTCCGAGTCTGAGTTTGAGTCTAAGGGGGTGAAAGCAAGCTTCGACCACGGCAGCAGTCCTTGACTTTGGACACACAGGTCTTTTTCTGTTCTTCTTACTTCATTTTTTCTGTTCTATACCAAAGACTTGCTTCGTTTTTTCTGTTCTATACCAAAGACTTGAAGTCGGTCACTCGGAGACGACGAGCGAGGTTACACCAAGACTGGCTGGTCCATAGTCTATTGTCGACTCCGGAGATGGACTTCCACTGTCCTGGTTCTAAGGACTTGGCACTTCACGTCAACATTCTCCCAAGTTCAAAGCATGCCTGTACTGGTAATACTGGAGAAATCCTCCGTATCAGCTTTCGGTTCACTGCCGCTTCCTAAAGGTACACGATTTCCTTGCTTACTTCATACCATAACAAACTTGCATTGCAGGGATACTCAAGAATGTCGCCGGCATTTCATGGTACTTCATTTCTATCATGTGAAACCTCTTCGCGGGGGTTCCACCTAACGTGTTAACTGTGCAGCAAATCCTCGTGTGGTGGAAGTGGTACTACACAAGCACTGCAAGAAACTCTAACTTATATGTGAACACACTACGTAAGTAGCAAGGATCTGCACTTTTGCTTCAACGAACTTGCTAAGGTCTATAATATGGCTGCAGACTTTTATGGAAGATCTCTTTCTCCCTGGATCACATCCGGGAGCAATGGAGAGTCCTGGTAGCGCAGCGTGCAATCGTCGTTGAGCTTGACATCCACAGCGATGGCGTCGACACAGTCCAGCCATGCCTTGGCGATGATGTCTTCGATGCAGCCTCTGCACGAGTCCTGGCTTGGGAGGACGTTGGTGGTGGCGTTGCGGAGGCACTGCGCCTGGCCATAGGCGGGGACGTCGCCCTCCACTCCCTTGTTGGTGCTGTAAGTCATGTTGGCGGCGGTGGGAGTGTTCTGGACGAGATCCGCCAGCGTCGCATTGAGGCTGTTCCAGTAAGTGCTCCCCTCTGGGATGGACTCGTCGCTGCACAGCCCCGAGAGTAGCTTCACGCCCTGCACTCCTGCTGCTACCATCGCCACCACCACCGCACAGATGATCAAAACGTCCTTCTTTACGCCCATGATCTTGCTGCTCGATCGAAACGAAGTATGCACAAGTTAGAGCAAAGAAAGAAAGCTTGCCTTTTCCTTGTGACGAATGGCTTCCATTTGATCACAAAAACCACAGATAGAATGTGAAAGATCACAAGTACCTTATGAGAGATATCATAGATGGAACTTCCATCTTTTCCTGGCGAGTCCTGGATTTCTTACGCTTGCACTAAGGAAGTAGAATCTTCCACCTTGTGATCGTGTCAATCTCAGATGTTAAGCATGGCTTCCAACTTAAGTTGCTTCTAGAAGACAAAGCAAACAATGCGCTCAATTTGAGCAGCAGCGAGGAGCACACGACACTATGCCTGGCGTTCCAGACGCGCGGCGCAACATCATCGGCAGCAAAATCTGTGGATGGAGTACGATCCGGAGAAGCTCCGGCTGGGAATCAATGCGCCACAGACTAGATTCTCCACCTAAAGTGAGACATTGATTTTAGGGTTCTTGATTGAGAGTGTTTTATTTTGATGGAGGAGGCAACCTCGTCCTCCTCGTCGCCTCTGCCGGACAATGCCGCGCGGAAGCTGCGGCTTTTCGACGAGAAGATGCGCCGCCAGTGCTGGGAGAAGGCGGAGGTGGTTCCCGGGCGGCATCCGGAGCGATGGCGCAAGGATGGAGCTGGAAATGTGGTGTGCCGCAAGTTCATTGGATGCGAGGGCTGTATGTGCTACGAGTTTGATCACATTCGCCCCTTCTCCAAAGGTTCCTTCTCGATCTTTTGCTTCCTCTTCCTCACTCGCAGCCACATTGTAATTTTGTGCGTGAATTTTTGGATACAGGAGGAGAGACCGATGTGAGCAACTGCCAGATTTTGCAGTCGCGTGTCAATCGCTTGAAGAGCAACAAAGACGCTGACGAACATCTACTCCAGCAGTACTCTTGTGATCTCAAGTTCACAGGTTGGTGTTCTTCCTTCTCTTGAGCTTCCGCAGTGAATCTATACACACAGCATATCTTGTTTGTTTTGGCAGCGCGAGAGCTGGACCTGGTGGAGATGGCGGTGTATGGAAACGTGATACGTCCCGGGCTCCAATGCCGGTGTAAGAGTGTGTCCGAGACGCTTGGAAATGGTGTCCATAAATCCAAAGGCCACGAACCGGCATGCGAGCTTCCATACAAGGCCCACGGCGCCGGCCCTTGACTTTGAGCAGACAGGTTTGTTTGTTTGTTTGTTTTCACTGCTTGCTGGTCTCGCGAACTTCGTGTTTTTTATCTGTTCTTATTTCATTCTTTTCGTTCTCTACCAAAGACTTGACCCCACTGCTGCCGCATTGTAGCTAGTCAGTCAGTCGGTCGGAAACGACAAGCAGGATATTGATTTCCATACTGCGGCGGCGACGAGACTGGTTGGCTCTCTTGTCCTATAGTTTGAAAGAACCATCGGTGACTCCGGAGGAACATAATGCACTGCCGCTATCAAGAGGTACTCTTTGGAGTTGATTCAAATCTGTGTGAAGTGTTTCTTGATCCAGGGACGATAGATAATTCTGGATCTCGTTTCCTAACCACAAATGTCAACGGACAATCCTCTCTGGAACAACCCGCTCACGAGGAGCTCCCGGAGAGAAGGCACGGTCTTCTCACGGTCGTCGACTCGTGAGAGACAACTAAATGAGGAGGAAGCACTGCTGTGGGCCGCACTTGAGAAGCTGCCTACTTACAACCGGTTGAGAACATCAATTCTCAAAGATGTGTCGGGTAGCAGGCTTGAACAGGTCGATCTTTCAAAGCTCGGTGTTGAGCACAAGCAGAGGATTGTGCAGACGATAATTGGGATTGGCGAAGAAGACAACGAGCTGTTCTTGTCCAAGCTACGGGATAGGATTGACAGGTATCTGTCGCTCCTGTTTTTGCTTGACTTTTCAAACTAAGATCTCCTACTCTTGTCCAGGGTCGGCTTAAAACTCCCTGAGATTGAAGTTCGTTTCAAACGCCTTCATGTCGTTGCACACGTTCACGTTGGAAGCAGGGCTTTGCCAACGCTATGGAACACAACACTCAACTGGATAGAGGTTTTAACTCATCTGCCTGTGTCCGATGTTTCTCAAATCTGCATGCTGCAGAGCATACTGGACATGGTGCGCCTTGTCCCCACCAGAAAAAGATCCCTTACCGTCCTAAACAACATTAGCGGGATAATAAAACCATCGAGGTCGGTTTCATGTCCATCTCTTTCCTTGCGTAAATCGGGAAGCTTTTCCAGGATAACACTGCTCCTTGGACCTCCCGGATCTGGAAGAACCACATTTCTTCTCGCTCTTTCTGGGAAGCTCAGGGATGACTTGAAGGTCAGAGTGAAATGGACCGTATTGCACTGCCTAAACTTTAGAATTTGCAGGTAACTGGAAGTGTTACCTACAATGGTCATGAATTACACGAGTTTGTGCCTCAACGAACTGCTTCATACACAAGTCAAAATGACGTACACCTGGGCGAACTGACAGTACGGGAGACATTTGACTTCTCATCGCGCTGCCAAGGTGTTGGCTCTTCATACGGTCAGTATGTTGTTGTTACTTGCTCTACAAACTCCAACTTCTCTTGCCTGCAACGCAGAAATGTTATCTGAACTGGCCAAGCGTGAGAGAGCAACAGGAATCAAGCCAGATCCAGATATCGATGCGTTTATGAAAGTATGTGATGTTGTGCTCGTGATCCTGACCTGGATTTGTGCTGGCATTTGCAGGCCTCAGCCATTCAAGGCCAAAGAACAAGTATAGTTTCCGACTATGTTCTCAAGGTAGTCTTGTTTTTTTGTTGAGAATGTTCTCAAATTGTATCAACTTATAGATTCTGGGTCTCGACATTTGCGGAGACATCTTTGTGGGGAATGACATGTTGAGAGGAATTTCCGGAGGTCAGAAAAAAAGAGTCACTACAGGTATGTTATCTTCTTGTTTAGTTTTCTTAATAGCAAAGATTATAATTGTGTCCAGGGGAGATGCTTGTTGGGCCCGTAAAAGCATTTTTCATGGACGAGATTTCTACTGGTCTGGACAGCTCAACAACTTATCAGATTGTCAAGTGTCTCAAGCAATCCGTTCATGCAACGAGTGGCACTATGGTCATCTCATTACTGCAGCCGGCGCCTGAAACATATGATCTGTTTGACGACGTTATTCTCTTATCCGAGGGCCAAATCGTATACCAAGGACCTCGTACTACTGTTCTTGAATTCTTCGAGGCTCAGGGATTCCGATGTCCAGAAAGAAAAGGCGTCGCTGATTTCCTACAAGAGGTCTGACTTTAGACTTGGTTTTAAGCTCTACTCACCAGTTCATGCATCAGGTGACTTCGAGAAAAGATCAAAGTCAATACTGGGCATTGGATGAGCCATATTCATACGTCTCCGTGGAGGACTTCGTTGAAGCGTTTAAAAAATTTAGCGTGGGTCAGCGACTTGTATCGGAGTTATCACGACCGTTTGACAAGTCAACCAGCCATCCCGCGGCTCTGGTTACCGAGAAATTCTCATTAACAAACTGGGAACTGTTTCAGGCATGCCTTGCCAGAGAATGGCTGTTGATGAGAAGAAACTCGTTTCTCTTCATTTTCAAGGCTGTACAGGTAACAACTATTGTTTTTTTTGCTTTTATCTCCCAATATTCAACATTCTTATCTCTTTTTCCAGATTAGCATTATTTCAGTCATCGGGATGACAGTGTTTTTGCGTACCGAAATGCATCATGAAACCGTCGGTGATGGAAACAAGTACCTTGGTGCTTTGTTTTATGGCCTGCTCAACGTGGCCTTCAATGGGATGGCTGAAATGGCCATGACCGTCGTTTATCTTCCAGTTTTCTACAAGCAGAGAGACCTCTTGTTCTATCCTGCTTGGGCGTATGCACTGCCAGTCATACTTTTGAAAATCCCGGTGTCTGTTATGGACTCTGCAATATGGACCGTCATCACTTACTATGTTATAGGCTTCGCACCAGAGGCTAGCAGGTAATTGTTTCCTTTACGTGATGGTTGATTTGCCTACACGGCTATTGCAGGTTTTTCAAGCAGTTCCTCCTCTTCATTTGTCTCCATATTATGTCGCTGGGATTGTTTCGCATGGTTGGCGCACTGTCTCGAACTATAGTTGTGGCAAACACTCTAGGCTCTTTCCAGTTCCTGCTTATGTGCGCACTAGGAGGCTTTATCTTGTCCAGAGGTAAACATTGTTGGTCGCTTTTCCTTCTCGCTCAGCAAGAATGTTTGTGCAGAGAACATTCCAAATTGGCTAACTTGGGGTTATTGGAGTACGCCGCTGTCTTATGCGCAGAATGCACTCTCTGCCAACGAGTTTCTTGCCCATCGCTGGCAAAGAGTACATGTTTCTTTGCTGCTGTTTGTTGTGTTGCTCACCAAAACCTTCGTTGTAGCCTTCTAATTCTTCAGATACTGTTGGAGTTGCTTTCCTTAAATCTCGTGGATTATTTCCGAACGAGTATTGGTATTGGATTGGCGTTGGAGCTTTGCTTGGGTTCGGAGCTGTGTACAATTTCCTGTACATTGTCGCATTAAGCTATCTTGATCGTAAGTTCTTTCTTGCGCGTAGTGCAAGTTGCTAACTTGCTGTTTCTGATACCAGCTTTCCAAAATTCTCGGGGAGCTATTTCGGAAGAAAAGACTAAAGACAAAGACATTTCAGTCTCCGAGGCCAGTAAAACCTGGGATAGCGGTACGTTTTTCCATTGTTCTCCTTTTCGTTGACACTTTACCTTGAGCAGTGGAAGGGATTGAAATGGCATTGGCAACTAAAACAGGGATGGTGCTGCCGTTTCCTCCCCTGTCAATTTCTTTCTCCCATGTCAACTATTACGTTGACATGCCTTTGGTATGAGTGCATTTAAGAATTTTCCTTTTGTTTTGACGCATATTCTGGATTGCAAAACAGGAAATGAAGAAGCAAGGAGTGTCTGACGACAAGCTGCAGCTGCTACAAGACATTACTGGAGCCTTCCGACCAGGAGTTCTTACGGCACTCGTTGGCGTGAGTGGTGCTGGAAAGACAACGCTGATGGACGTCCTTGCAGGCAGAAAGACAGGTGGGTACATCGAGGGAAGCGTCAATATCTCCGGGTTTCCCAAAAAGCAAGAGACATTTGCTCGAATCTCTGGATACTGCGAGCAAAATGATATTCACTCCCCATATGTGACAGTAAGAGAATCAATTACTTACTCGGCATGGCTTCGTCTGTCTCAAGAGATTGACAGCAGAACCAGAAAGGTAAGTTTTGCGTGGTTTTATTGTTCTTTTCATTCTCGTAATGGTGGCTGGATTAACTGCAGATGTTTGTTCAAGAAGTCTTAAATCTTGTGGAGCTCACTCCCGTCCAGAATGGTCTTGTTGGCCTTCCTGGGGTCAGCGGGCTTTCCACCGAGCAGAGGAAGCGGCTGACAATTGCAGTGGAGCTTGTTGCGAATCCGTCCATCATTTTTATGGATGAACCAACATCGGGACTGGATGCAAGAGCTGCGGCGGTGGTCATGCGCGCCGTCAGAAACACTGTCAAAACCGGCCGAACCGTTGTCTGTACCATACATCAACCGAGTATTGATATCTTCGAAATGTTTGATGAGGTACGTAAGACCACATATATTTGCAACTTCTGAGGGAATGACTTTGTGAATTGTGAAGCTCTTGCTGATGAAACGTGGAGGCCAAGTTATCTATGCAGGACCATTGGGCACAAACTCTTGCCATCTGATTGAGTACCTCGAGGTACTCCAAAAGTTAACTTTCTCTGCCTATCTGACTGACCTTTATGAAATATAGGCCGTCGAGGGAATTCCAAAGATTGGTGATGGTATCAATCCAGCAACTTGGATGCTAGATGTAACGTCTCAAACTGTCGAGAGCCAGCTGAGGATAGACTTCGCCACGATCTACAAGGAATCGTCGCTGTACAAGTAAGCGTTCAGAGTCTTGCGTTACGGTGCCTTGAATAACAATCTAATACACAGGCGCAATGAAGATCTCGTGGAGGAGCTCAGCACTCCGGCTCCTGGTTCTAAGGACTTGTACTTCACGTCAACATTCTCCCAGACCTTTGTGGAGCAGTGCAAAGCATGCCTGTGGAAGCAGTACTGGTCATACTGGAGAAATCCTCAGTATCAACTTGTTCGCCTCTGCTTCACTGCCTTCGTCTCGCTTATGTTTGGGGTCATCTTCTGGGGCTGTGGATCCAAAAGGTACACGATCTCCTTTCTTCATTCTTGTTCGTCATACCAAACAAGCTTGCATTGCAGGGATACTCAGCAAGACGTCTTCAACGTCACCGGCGTTTTGTATCTGGTAGTTCTCTTCGTAGGAGTGAACAACGCAGCATCTGTGATACCGGTTGTCGATATAGAACGCACCGTTTATTACCGAGAAAGAGCTGCTGGAATGTATTCTCCGCTGCCATATGCGATCGCGCAGGTACAAGAGTTCTTTCTTTTCTTTATTTTCTCATGCGAGTTGAAAATGGATTCACAGGTCGTTATTGAGGTCCCTTATCTCTTGACTCAGACAGTAATCTTCGGGCTTGTAGTTTATCCAATGGTCCAGTTCGAGTGGACAGTCGTCAAGTTCTTCTGGTTCATGTTCTTCTCGTTCTTCAGTTTTTGGTACTTCACGCTCTACGGGATGATGATCCTTGCTCTCTCTCCGAATGGACAATTCGCTGCCATTATTTCGTCGTTCTTCTATATCATGTGGAACCTCTTCTCGGGATTCCTGATTCCATACTCGGTAAGAGAAAGACTGGAAAATACTTACTTCGTTAACATGTTTTGCTTTGTACCGATACAGCAAATCCCCGTGTGGTGGCAGTGGTATTACTGGATTTCTCCCGTTGCATGGACTCTATACGGCTTGATAACTTCCCAGCTCGGAGACGTGAAATCCTTCATGCAAATACCAGAGCAAGCACCAGTCCGAGTGGAGGATTTTATCAGGGACAGGTTCAACTTTCGCTACGACTTTCTGGGCCTCATGGCCGGCGTGCATGTGGCATTTGTCATCCTTTCTATCCTCGTCTTCGCGTTTTGCATCAAGCACTTCAACTTTCAGCGGCGTTAAATAGATACCGGACTAGATTTCTATGCCTGGACGAAACGCAAGCTTCATTAATGAGGAAACAGGTAATCTTGTTTGCTGACCTCGGTGTGAGCTCGCAAGATCACAGCCTGGGTTATAATGTGATTTGAGGGAGTCAAAAGAGCTGTATACTATCCTTTAGCCAACGGTTGCAAGTAGAAAAATCGTCATGGAGCCCAGAAAAAGTTGTAAACGTTTCTGCTCACTACACCGCTAATGGATTTGTTCTTGTTTAGTATCCCAAGCCCTGTCAAAAGATTCTTTTGTTTGGAAACATCTCCTTCCTGTCAACGAGATATAAGCCTAACTCCAAGAAAATAAACAAATCCTTACCAGCGCAGTGTATGCTTGAGCCAGAGCCAACACAGTTGGATACCTGTCCAGGATGGAAAGAGCTATGTCCTCCGTTACATGCCTTATCTGTAACAAACCACACACAGATAGATGATAAAGCGCCGAACACGGTCGACTTACTTGCATGAGTTGCACCCCGAACACATCTGTCACTCTTTCCTTCTCGACGTCGCTGCAGTGCTCCAGGAACTCCTGGTAGCTCATGCATCGCTTGCTTTCACCAGACAAGCTACCTGTCTCACCGCTGTAACGCCTGTTGATTGCATTCGTAAGCTCTCCATATCTGCTTATTGTGTCGTGAGTGTCTCGTGTCCTCTGGACGTCGAATCCTTCAAGTATTTCGGTTGTCAGAGCTCTGGTTATCGATGATAAACGAGTGAGCCTCAAAGGAAACAAAAAACTCACGCAGTTTTTATGCTTTCCGCGCCGTCTATCAGATTTGGATCGCCCTCAATAAGATAAATTAACCGGGTTATCCCGCAGCGCTGTTTGCAATGAAAAAAGTTAAGCTTGGCTGAGCAATGAACGTCGCGCTTACCAATAGTCTTAGTTTCTGCGTCTTATAACGAGTATCTTTGATTGACGACCACAGGTCATCGACCGCTTTCCTTTCCACGATGAAGTCCAATACAAACTCCTGCCTCGTGAGCTTGTTGTACGCCACCCACGTAGCGTCTCCAACTGGTAGATGTCTCACCTAAAAAACGAAGAGAGCAAAAACTCAAACACGAGCACACCTCGCATATAATCAAACGCAGCTTACCTCGACATCTACTTTGTATTGTTGTCGCAACCGTTCGGCAAACATTGACTTCGAAGTTCTAAAACTCAATGCTTAGAACCACCTCATAAGCATGGTAGGAATAACTTACCCCCTACCACCGCGTGTAAAGCATTCTCTGTCATCCAAAATCAAGATAACATTGTATACATTAGCGAAACTTTCGCCCTCACTCAGAGGAGGAACAGCAAGACAGGATTTTGTGCTGCCGATGCTTGCTCCAGTTCCTGCCGTGAAACAGACTTAGAAATTATCCTCCTGGACAAAAATAAAGGCCTACCCGTGACTGGTGTTGCCTGATCTGCAAAGTTGATAAGGAACGAAAAAAAAAGGTAAGGGACCAGTGAGACATGCTATAGAACAAGCCATACCCGCTCCATGAAGTCTAGTCTCATTCGATTTTATCTGCCGCTCACACCGCATTATGGTAGGTGCCTTTGCAGCAGCAGCAACAGCAGCATAAGTTGGACCTGGATTTCGGTTCACAGTGCAAACTGGAGAAGAACTCTGGTTTTGGGACGAGTTTTGATTTGTGGAAGGAGAAGCATTTGTAGGCTGGGCCTGACTAGAAGTCTGTTTTGATGTTGTGGAAGCATCCAGCAAACCACCTCTCAGGCAACACTCCTTTGCAGTTTCATGGCCTTCTTCTGTCAGCATGTACCTGTTGCAACACGCGTTATCAATTCTAGTGAGGCCACAAAACATGGAGAACGTACTTCGCGGGACAACTCGACTTGACAACAAGTCCTTTCGAGATAAGCGTCTTCATGGACGACCAGCCCGAGTACCAGTCCTTGGTAGAGTCACCAAATCGCCCACTCCCACTTGAGTTTTTGTTCGATGGCCTGTCTACAACTTGTGAGCTGACAAAAATACAGGAAAAGAAGGAAGAAAAACCAAGCCAATTCTTACTGAATTTGCATCTTAGAGAGTCCGCTAAGTTCTGCGGCGTCAATGAGCTCTTGCTTCATCATGTATGACTTCCCTTCGTTTAGAAAGCCTCTGCTCAAACAAAAGCAAAAAGAATGGAAGTGATCGATGCATTTTAGAATTAAAGTACCCGTATAAAGTGATTAATAACGCATATGGTGCTGAATTCTTCTGTGGTAAATATCTCCTCGTTGTTTTCCTCTTCTTCGCTGCGTCAATCTCTCCTGGTCAAGAAAATCACAAGGAAAAAGAGTAGAAAATTCACATACATTGTGAAGCATTCTCTTGAGAAGCGTGCTCCAAACCATCACCGAAAAAATCCTTGAGCTGCTTGAGCATCCAAGCGCCAATTCCTCTGGAATGGCAACGGTCGGACAAGAAAAACACTAGAAAATCTGCCACTCACCTGACCTTGGCAGCCTCTTTGAGGGTACAAATCGGCGCCTTGTGATCGCACACATTCCTGTACGCCGTCGTGAATGTGGCATCCAGATTGTCGCTGAAGCTGGGCTTCTGCATCAGCTCCTCGCGCTTCCAGTAGATGTAGAGCGCCAAGCCCTCGTTCTGCTCGCACGCCACGGGCCTCGTCGCCATGGCTGCCAGGAACCCTAAACCCTCCCTTGGCGCTCAAAGAGACGAGCATATTCCAAAAAATTTGGTACTAAGTACCATACAATTCCGATAGGTCTCTTTAATCCTCATAGTCAAACTTGATGGAGTGTGAAGCTCCATCGATGGTACCACCACGGTAAGATCCACGCTTCTTCTTCGTTTTCTCGTGTCGAAAGCCCCTGGAGAAGGTGTTAAAACTTAGAGCAATGGAACTTTGTTAAAAACTTAGCTATGGAACTTACCTTCCTCTCACTTGACCGAGAACTTCCTGGGCCTTGGCACCCCATCCCGTCTCAGCACCACTCTGGCCACGAAACGAGCGCACAGATCAAAGAAGTTTAACACAAGGTAGCCTGTGAGAGTTACCTTTGCCCAGTATGAATTGTCTTGGAGCCTGGAATCTACAAACTCGACCTGTAGAGCAGTGTTTAGCGTTAGCGTTCAAGCGATTTGTTCTAGAAAGCCTACTTACTTGCGAGGAATCCACTCTCTGGAAAGCTTTCGGCTAGACGAAGAGCACGGAGTTAGAAAAGAAACATGACAGGAACGAGCTTTCACGTACCTTCTTACTGTCAGACTCGCTGCCGTTTTGATCCGCTGCACGACCTCGTTTTTTGCTACGCTTGTCAGAAGATTCATCTTCCACTTTCGGGACCTCTGGCTCTTCGGGTGGCACAGTCGCAGAGCACTCCTTCAGTGGTTTCTCTTCCTCGTTCTTTTCCGTCCCCTTCTTTGCTTTCCTTTTCTTCGCCGGTGCCTCAGGCTCTGGGTTCTCGAGTGGCATGCTGCCAGCGTTCGCATTTCCGTTGCCATCCTCTTTCGCCTTTCTCGACTTCTTTGTTTTCGGTATGCCCGCAAGCTCCGAACTCTCGACTAGGCTCTTCGTCTCGTCAGTGTTCTTCACCTTCTTCTGTTTCTCAGGCTCCGCCTCAGTCTCAGTATCAGGACTCTTCTTCGACTTCTTTCCACCACTCTCACGCTCCTTCTTTGCCTTTTTTCTCTTCCGCTCAGTGTCGTGCTGCGATGCAATATCACCATCTGTGTTCTCCTTGCTCTCATTGGCCTTCTCTGCGTGCTCGAGCACGTCAGACTCCCCGTCAATTTCCGAGTTCTTTTCTTTGGGCTCGTCAACCTCCGGTACATTCGGCTTCTCACCTCCAGTTTTTCGCTTCTTTTTCTTCGGCACCTCTTTGGCAACCTCGGGCTCCTTCATCGAATTCGTCTCTGCAAGCTCGGGAGCACTGCTCGAGGCCCCCTCCTTTGTTTTCTTCTTTTTCGGCTTCCCGTCATGCTTTAGTTCGTCATCACCAACGCGCTGCTTGGTCTGCTTTTTGTCACAGTCCTCTTCGTTCTTCTTTTGCGCTTTATCCTTTGACTCTGTTACTTCTCCACTTCCGACCTCCTCGGGGACCCGCTCCCTATCCTCTTTGGTCTTCTTTGCCTTCTTTTTCTTTGGCACCTGCGCAACGACTTTAACCTGCTTCGTAGCGTCGTCACTCACCTCCATCGGCATTTTCTCTTTATCCTTTGACTCTGCTACCTCTCCACTTCTAGGTGCGATGGTGGCCTCCTCGGGGACCTGCTCGCTCTCCTCTTTGGCCTTCTTCGCCTTCCTTTTCTTTTGCACACGAGCAACGGTTTCTACTTCATCGACTTTAACCTGCTTAGCAGCTTCATCGCTCTCCTCCATCTTCGTTTTCATCTTATCTGGAACCTCAGGCTCTACTTCCTCAGCAATGGCTTGCTTAGCAACCTCTTCCTTCTCCATCCTTTTCTTTGTCCTCTTCTTCGGGACCTCCGGCTCAGCATTGTCTTGCTTAGCAGCCTCTTCCTTCTCCTCCATCTTGATCTTCGTTTTCTTCTTTTTTGGTACCTCCAGCTCTCCTTCCTCAGCATTGGTGGCAGCCTCTTCCATCTTCTTCTTTGTTTTTGGTACCCCCGGCTCTACTTCCTCAGCAGAATTGGCTTGCTCAGAAGACTCCTCTGTCCTTTTCTTTGATTTCTTCTTTTTTGGTACCTCCGGCTGCTTAGCAACCTGTTCTTCCCCCTCCTTTCGATCGTGCTCTACATCCTCAGCTATACTCTGCTTGGCATCCTTACTCTCTGCCTTTTCACTCTTTCCTTTCTTTGCCTTGTTCTTCCTTGGCACCTCAGCGTCTTGATCCTGCTCGGCCTCAGCCTCCGTGCTCTTCCTGGCCTTCTTCCTAGATTTGGAAGGCTTCCCCAAGCATGAATCTCCGTCCCCAGCTATCGGCGTCTCACTTGCATCGTCAACTTTCTTCGTTTTCTTCGTTTTCTGCTTCGGCGCCTCCTCTAGAGCTCCATTCTCTAATTCCTGAGCTACCTTCTTCTTCTTCGATCGAGGCTTCTCCTTTGGATTCGCTCCAGGAGCCATTTCTCCGATCAATGACAGTCTACACGAGGCCTACCTCCATTGCCGTGAATGCCGTCGCCATTGCATGCCCTAACTTAAACCCTAGCTCTTTTTCAAATCAGGCGATTAGATTGGTCCAACGACATCTCAACCGTTCGTTTCGCAGGGCGCACTCTTGGCTATGGCGAGTTGATTGAGAGATCCGCGCCATAGCGCTCACATTTCTCTTCCTCTCAAGGTACTGGAGAACGTGAAATGAATCGACACTATGGCCCGGCTACGAAAGTCCAAGAAATCGATTAGCTTCCAGCAAGAAAAGAGCATGGAGAAGGCCGAGGATCAAAATGCTGTGAGTGCCACAAAGAGATCGATAGGAGAGCTAGAGGGCACAAGTGAGCTCCAGCCACATCCACATCCACAGCCGAGCGCTACCACTACATCACAATCGCAAGAACTCGACCAATTCACAGGGCGCAAAGTGAGGAAGAGATTCGGCCGGAAGCTCTACAACGGTGAAGTAAGGAGCTACGACAAGGAAACCAAGTGGTACTGGATCGTCTACGAGGATGGCGATGAGGAAGAAGTGGACTGGAATGATCTGGAGAAGATCTTGGTGCCACTGGAAGAAGAAGAACCAAAGATCACACCACCTCCAATTACTAACAAGCGTCCCAAGAAGGATGACTTCGTCTTTTGGTGACCAAGCTTTGGTTTTTGTTATTCTTTTCTTTTTTCTTTGTTTTGTTTTTTGTTCTTCCTGTAATGAAATGTATCTCTAGATCCCTCTGTACAGATTTTGTACCAAAATCACGAGCAGCGCAGCACAAAAGAGGCACAAAAACGAGACCTGTCGACTTCGAGGGGCGCTTACTTGATGAACCAACGAAAGCTGCCGCTGCTGCCACTCTTCTCGATCTTCTCGACGGTAGCTAGCTACGAACAATCGAAACGCTTCGTGATCACGGCATGTAGGACGAGTATCTTCCCAGGTTCCCGGCTGATCCGGGTCTCTGTTGCTGGTTTCCAAGCAGTCCCTGTTGTTGCTGCTGTTGCCGCGAGCTCTGGCGGCCTGGAACGGGATCTTCCGTGTGAGCGTCGAGGCCTCGTAGCATATGAGGCTTTGGAACTGCCAGTGCCTCGCCATCGTATTCCACCACCCTTTCCCAGTTCTCGTACGCGACTTTGACGAGCTTGTCCACGTAAACCTGTGGAAGACGAACTAAGTTTTGGCAAAACCGTAAGAGAGAAATGAGGATTCAGACCTTTTCGCTGTCGGACAAAGAATCTGCGGACACGTACTGGCCGTCGGCGATCAATCCCATCAGCTGGAAAATGTTGTTGAAAATGACTCCGATGTTATGTCGCTCGTCCGCATAGTAGACGTGAAGCTTGCCACTCAACACGCATGTCTTTGCGTGCTCCACAGTTCCTTCCCACATCTTGTTGGACATTCCATTTCCCAGCACCTGAGATTGAGCACAACGTTTAGCTTGTCCACAAACTAAAAAACTCTTCTAAGTAGAAACAGAAGTAGCGCTTGCTTACATTGCGCAACTTTTGAGGGTCCATGACAACCATTCGCAGGAAGTCTTCCACTGACTGTATCCCGTTTTGATTCAGCCGCTTGTGGAAAGCCCCGTCCTTTCCGATCTTATCCAGACGCCACACCTCGTCCGTTAATGCAGGTGGATAATGCTTCTTGTACACTGCACAAGAGCGCACGTAACATCGGTAAGCAGCATGTCAAAACCAAACAAAAAAAAGAAACAGTTCAGTCGCCAACTTACGTTCCCCTCTGTGATCTTTCACTGTGAACGATTCTGTCTTTGCTTCTCGAATACGAAGAACTTCGCTGCTAGCTCCCGACATCCGGACCCCAAGCCTGAATTTCCTGCTCCTGATCCAGCTCGAGTTATCTGTGAAGGTGAGCTCCCCAAGCGCTCCCACCCCTTCCTTCAATGTCAAGTGAGCCTCTCCCGTAAGCAAAGGCCTCTTGCCTTCGCGCTCCTTGACAACATGGTTCTCAAACTCGTCCTGCGTCCAGTCATCCTCATCGTCAACACTAAAGTCGCCTTCCAGAACTACGATATCTAACTTTGCTGAAGCTTCGGGTCCAGTCGTGACAACTTGACCTGTGGCTGCATCCTGGAGCACCACATGTATGCTAGACCCCTGCTCGCCTTCTACTTTGCTACCCGTGAAAAGCGGAAGCGCGAGCTTATTTCTGAATTGCAACCTCAACATCTTGTCGTTCGGGCCGGGGATCTTCTTTGGAGGCGAAGCTCTGGAGTAATCCTCGATCAGAACTTCCACAAAATCTAGAGAAAGGAGATGAAAGATCTAGCACTTACTTTAGTCCCAGTTTTGAAGATGGGAATTTTGACAGAGCTCGTTCAACCTCTTCACCAACCTGATCTCACAGAAGAAAGGAAAAGAAAACTTTGATGTCAAGGCATCGAAACAGAAAAAAGATAGAAACTCACAACTTTGCGGAGGAAAGGTTCCAGAGAGGTACACAGCTTTTGCATGCTATCCATTTTCACAGCTTCGAATATGACCCTGTTAGATAAGAAATGTTATGGCGAGATGAATTGGACTTGGTCATATCTTCTCTTACCCGGCAAGCGACTTTTGCCTCTTCTCTTCGGGCAATCCATCCCTGTTGCTGAAGCTGGCTTGCTTCTCCAGCGGCCTCTTCTCCCTCAGCGCATTCGGATTAAGCGTCATACCTAGAATCTCTCCAATTGCCCCAGACCTGAGTCCTGACCACCAAGACACACGAAGAATCAGTCATTGCTGCGCGAAATTCACATCTGGATCCCCAAAACCCCCAAACCTTAGCGTGCGCTTTCCCGATCCTTCTCGGAATTGGGAAGAATTCCCTCCTCTCGTGCGAGCTTGCGCGCGAGCAGCGCCGCCGCAGAGATTTTTGGCTGCGATGCGCGGAGAGGACGAATCTGAACCCTGCGAAGCAGCGCCCACGAAACCTCCTCCCAGCCTGCTGAAAATTTCCTCCACGCTTCCTCGCCAAAACTATAGCTACAATAATCCCAAAACCACAAAACCCGCGCCCGTGTGAACGCGACATAAGGGCCGCGTGGGCGCGGTGAGCTGGCAGCGGGCAACACAGTCTCCGCGTGCCACGGCGGCTCAGTCGGCGTAGGCGTGCGGGCAATCGCAAGTCACCACGTCAGCCCTGCTGCCACGCTGGCGCCTCTGGAATATTCTTACCGGGTCAAGTCAATCGCACACTCGTCTTAGTCAACGCGGGTCTCCATCATAAGTGGCGAGGAAGTCAATCCTGTATCTTTCTCGCGATCGTAATCCCTAACTTTTGTGCCAATTTTTCTGGGATAGGCCTCTCTAGCTGGATGGATTGATCGCCAACGTCAAAATTAAACTAGGCATGCCCAACACATTGGATGGAATCAAACGTCTCTCGAAGATTTGTATATCCTGGACTAGATTACGATCTAGAAACAATATCAGCGCAAGTTTTTCCACGTACGTAACATGGCGTTTGTCTACTTTGTGAATGCGTCGTCAAAGCAAGCCGCGGATGGATGGAATATAACCTGGTGCCGGCGCATATATTCGATGCTTTGGAATAGACTATAGAAAGCTCCCAAATTCTGGGAATCGGACAAAGAGAAAACTTACAAGCTTTTGTTTACGAGACGCGAGGGAAGAAAATGGCCGCGACCTGACTGCTTCCAAACACGATCGAGGTGACGAGGAGACCCAGCAATCCAAATGCATTCCAGATCCCCCTGAATCTATTGTCTGGATCGCCGGTGTAGTATCTACACAAAATCAAAGAAGATCAAGCCAAAAGCTAGAACTTCTCGATCGCAATTGAAGTGATTTCACTCACCCGAGCGAATAGACGACGCGTCCAATCACCCATACCATTCCAAAGCTGCATCAATCCGAGAGAAAAAAAAAGAGATTTTTTCACAGCCGATCGAGCTGGAACAAGGCTAGAGTTTCCAGAACACTCACACGGACGCGGTGATCGGGTAGCCCAAGCCCGACACAAGCAGCAGCGCCAGAAATGCCGGGTAGCTCTCGAGCGTGTTTTGATGCGCTCGCTGGTAGCAATTAAACACAGATTTCTCGGCATCCTCGTACATCTGTGCCATGCATGCACGAAAAAGTTCAAGTTTGATCACTGGGATCGCTCAAAAATCCCACCTGTGGATATTTCAATCCCACTTTTCGCCGCTGGATTCCCACCTGATCGATCGAATCAAGCAGCGCAGTCACTCGCGGGATCAATCAGCTAGAATGTAATGTAGATTCTCACCTGGACCGCTTGCCATTGCGTAAGAACAGCGCTGGATGCTGCTGTGAGCGCCACGAATCCAAACTCGGCGGGCAGTGGAGACGCCGCTCTCGCTTGCAATCTCGCCGCTCTGCTGCTGCAAATGCCAATGCCAATGCCATTCCTCGGCGGCTTCCTGGCGGCGCCGGCACCCACACTACACGCCATAGCCATTAACTCACAACCCTCGGATCGCGCGTCACTAGCAACGGCTTATATGTGTGCACGTGTCGCAAATGCGGCACTGGCCAACGTTTCTATACTTGGCCCATATTTAGGGTTCTTGGATCCTCCCTCCATCGCTAAGAGAATTGGGATTTTTCGCTGCTGCCGCTGCGCTGCCATGGGACGCCGTAAGATCTAGCTACATTCTTCCTCCTCCTCGATTACCATTCGCTCTCTTGGCGCCTCGAATCGATTCTTTGAAGAATGAGAGCTTTGAAATGGATTTTGGCGCGGTTTCTTGATCTTTGGTTCTTTGCTGTGATCCCAGGCCCCGCGCGCTGCTACCGCCAGATCAAGAACAAGCCCTACCCGAAGTCGCGCTACTGCCGCGGCGTACCCGACCCCAAGATCCGGATCTACGATGTGGGGGCGAAGAAGAAGGGCGTGGACGAGTTCTCGTTTTGCGTCCATCTGGTGAGCTGGGAGAAGGAGAATGTGTCGAGCGAGGCGCTCGAGGCCGCGCGCATCGCCTGCAACAAGTACATGGCCAAGTACGCTGGAAAGGACGCCTTTCATCTGCGCGTTCGAGTTCATCCTTACCACGTCCTGCGAATCAACAAGATGCTCTCGTGCGCTGGAGCTGACAGGTCTTTCTTTGATCGATAGATCCTTTCTTTCGATGTTTCTTTTGGGGTTCATCACTGTTCTATAGGCTCCAAACTGGAATGCGAGGAGCATTTGGAAAGCCACAAGGGACTTGCGCACGAGTAGCTATCGGCCAAGTTCTTCTCTCCGTTCGCTGCAAGGATCACAACAATGCCCACGCTCAAGAGGCTCTCCGCCGAGCAAAGTTTAAGTTCCCGGGTCGCCAGAAGATCATCGTCAGCCGAAAATGGTACGATATGCTGTTTTCTCCGATCATCCAAAGTTGATAACCAAGTTTGCGTCTATCAACTTAGGGGCTTCACCAAGTTCAACCGGGATGATTATCTTCGCTGGAAGCAAGAGAGACGAATCATCCCTGACGGTGTGAATGCAAAAGTAAGTGCAATCTTCTCAATTTCTCGATCTCCAGAGACAGATTCTTCCATAGATTGATCCACTGCATTGAATTCGACGCGATCAACTAAAAAAACTCCTTTTTTTTTTCTTTGTTTTTCAGCTGTTGGGAACTCGCGGGCCCCTTTGCAAGCGCGCACCGGGACAAGCGTTTCTCGAGGAGCCAAGCAAAGCATAAGAGACGCCTAAACAAAGAAATAGAAATAGGGAATCCAAAAAAGGGCCAGTGTCTTTTTTACACGTGGCGCAATGTCAGTGTAATCGGGGTTAGGGTTGGGGGAAAGCGGAGGGCTCGTGATTGCCGGGGAGCTCGATCGCTCCAATTGCCTCGCGAATTGGATGGATGACTCACAATGACGCCGATCCAGTCGGGAGCGCGATGAAGAGCTGGCTGCAAGGAATCCGAGAAGACCAGCGCGACAAGCTCGTTAGCGCGCTCGCTGGCGCCGGCGCGGGTAAATATCCAATCCATCTTCCATCTCGATTGTATTCTTTGCGCTTTCTATAGGCGCAATCTCTGCGACGTTTGTGTGTCCTTTGGATGTCGTGAAAACTCGCCTTCAAGTACACAAAGCTCCTGTTCCCGATCAAGCCGTCGCGAAGGGTACTATAAAAATTCCTCTCTTTTTTTTTTCTGTTCTTCCCAAAACTTAGATTCTTCCCAGGTGGTGGGGTGATTGTCCGCAGCTTGGCCGTGATCTTCCAGAATGAAGGAGTTGCGGGTATGTACCGCGGTCTCTCCCCGACCATCTTCGCATTGCTGCCAAACTGGGCGGTGCGTATGCAGCAAATCGATCCATCCATGTCACGAAGTTTTCTGGTTTCTAACTCGAGCTCTTTCCACAGGTTTATTTCACAGCCTACGAGCAGATGAAAGGGTATCTAGAGCGCAGAGGTGACTTCTTTTCCATTTTTCTTTCTCCACAAGCTTACTCTCGTGACTTCATTTCAGATGGCTCTCCCGATAAGAAATTGTCTCCTGGCGAACACATGATAGCTGCTGTAGTTGCCGGATCGGCAACGAATATTGCTACAAATCCTCTTTGGGTTGTCAAGACGCGTCTCCAGGTATGTCGATCGCTCACTCTTTCTTGCTTTAATTTCTGTTTGATATTCTTTCACAGACTCAGCAAGTGAAGTCCGGGATCGCTCCGTATGTCGGAACACTCTCTTCCCTCGTCCGGATTGGAAGAGAGGAAGGACTTCGTGGACTGTACAGGTATGTATTTTCGCTGGTGGCCGTAGTTTTAGCTAACTCTGTTCTCTTGCTTTGACATCGAGCAGTGGATTGGTTCCAGCTCTAGTTGGGGTGAGCCACGTAGCTGTTCAGTTTCCCGTTTACGAGCATCTTAAAGAGCGTCTCGCTGACAGTGGCACATTTGGTGTTATTGGAGCGTCGGCAGCGTCGAAGATGATTGCTTCGACTGTAACATATCCTCACGAGGTAAGCCTTCTTTTTCTCCGTCCTTGGCTATATATCAAAGATCAAGCGCTGAGTAAGAACGAGCAGGTTGTGAGATCCAGGCTACAAGAGCAGGGAAGCTCCGCCAATCCAAGATACAATGGCGTGGTCGACTGCGTGCAAAAGATCTGGAAGCAAGAAGGGATTCGAGGCTACTATCGCGGCTGTGCGACCAACTTGATGAGAACAACCCCGGCGGCGGTCATCACATTCACTAGTTTCGAGTACATAAAGAAGAGGCTACTGGAGATTAGTTCCCCGGGCTACTCGGCTCCAGGCCCTTCCGAAGACTCCAAGGCCAAACGGACCCCGGAGCACAATGACTCGTCCAAATTCAGTACGTTTCCCCGGCCACAGAAGGATTCATCGGGCTGCATCGCTTCGTGAAAGCTTTTGCTTTGCAGTTCCTCCGTGTAGATATATTCTTCGCCGCCAAGCAATAAAACTCTGGGTTCCCGGCCAACTTTTCTTTCCATCGTCACGTCTGAGCTGCGTAGATACCGGCCAGGAGGATGTAAGGAGCCGCCACCTCGGGCTCCAGCTCGGCCAGCTTCTCCGCTACACGAGCTCCAGCTCCGGCATTCCCCTGGAGTTTGCAAGCATTGAGCAGTGACTTCCATGCCACAGCAGCGAACTCGGCCTCGGTACTAGTGTCATCGTAAGTCGAGGTCCCGATGAACGCCTCCGCTTCACCCAGCATCCCGGCTCTCCCCAGCATGTCGCTCAAGCAAACCAGGTGCTGAGCAGCGGGAGCTACGCCATACTTGGTGTGCATGTCTAGAAAGCTCGTCCACGCCTGGCTGCTGAGGCCTGCATGGCTACACGCGTTGAGAATGCTGGTGAAGTTGATCTCGTTGGGCTGGACGCCTTCGAGGCTCATGAGGAAGAGGAGCTCCAGGCTCTGGCGAGCGCAGCCATGGTGGGAGTAGGCCGCAAGCATGGCCGTCCAGCAGATTGGATTCCGCAATGCTCTTACGTCGTTGATGCGCACCATGCTGTCGAACACGCGTCTCGCTCGGTCCAAGTTTCCACACCTGCTGTGCATGTTGATCAGTGCGGCTCCAATCTCCTGGCTCGTATCCAGTCCAGCACTAGCCAGCCGTAACTCGAGTGCCATCCCTTTGTCGAAACTGTCGCACGCTGCGAGGATGCTGACGAAGCTCGCACTGACTTGTTTGATGCCTTCCAGGTCCATCTTGTAGAAGAGCTCGAAAGCTTCGCTGCTGCAGCCGCACTGGGAGTAAGCCGAGATCATCGCGTTCCAGCACACGACGTCCATGCTCGTCCTCTGCTCTTCCACCAGTGTCTCAAAAACCAGGCGAGCACTGCCGGAGTCTTCGCACTTGCCATACATGGTGATGAGTGCACTCCCGAGCACACCATCCAGTTCCATTCCAGTGGCTTCAACCTGATGGTGGACCAACTTCCCCTCCTCTAGAGCATTCAAGTTGGAGCAGGCGGTGAGGACGCTTGAGAATGTGAAGGAATCTGGCTCTGCTGCCTGGCACATTTGCTTGTACAATTCCAAGGCCTCTACATCCCGCGAGTTTTGAATGTAGGCCGAGATCATTGCGTTCCAGGAGACCACACTTCGCGTATCCTGTTCCATCTCGTCAAAGTTCTTCTTTGCGGCTTCAAGGCACCCACACTTGGCGTACATGTTGACGAGAGAGTTCTGAAGAGCAGTCGCTGGCTGGGCATGGTTTCCTTCAGAAACTAGCTTCTGAATCCTGTTGCCCAAGTCGAGGTGCTGATCGGATGTGCAGGCTCCTAGAACAACGATGACTGTCACGTCAGTGACGTGGATGCCTTCGAGCTGCATCTCGTAGAACGTTTGCATGGCTTCGTCGCTGTGTCCGTGCTGGATGCAAGCACCGATCATCGAATTCCATGTCCGCGCATTCTTTTCAGGCATGAAGTCGAAGATAGCGCGAGCCCCTTCCAAACTCCCGCATTTGGCGTGTGCATCTAGAAGACAAGTCCCAAGCACCACATCAGAATAGAAGGCAGCATGAATGCGATAACAAACCTGTGACAAAATTTCTCTTCTCGTCTCAGCATCACCTCCATTACTGCAGCACGAACTGACAACTGCGACATAAGTCGCCTTGCTCAGCTCGATGCCCTCCAAGTCCATCCTCCGGAACAAGCTTAAGACTTCCGAGCTATTTCCATGTTGGCCGTAAGCTGCCATTATAGAGTTCCAGCTCACAGCAGTCTTGGAAGCAATCCTGTCAAAAACCAACCTGGCCTCGCTCAAGCTCGCGCATTTTCCATAGAGGTTGATGAGAGAGTTCTGGACCGCAACGCTGGTCTCCAAAAATCCATGCGAACAACTGAGCTCCTCCAGAGCTCTAGCCTGCTTCACGTCTTTTAATCCACAGCAGGCCGAGATGGCGGTGACAAAGCTCACGGCATCGGGTCCCTGGACGGAGTGGAGTAGACAGTCATTGAAAATCTCTAGAGCTTGCTGGAACTTACCTCGCGAGGAGTACGCAGCCATCATCACGTTCCAAGAGACGGCATCCTTCTCTCGCGTCGGAGTAGCGTCGAAGACCGCTCGAGCATCGTCCAAGCAGCCACACTTCACATACATGCTCACCAAAGCGTTGTGGACGACCGTGTCGGATTCCAGGCCACAGCCAGCGACGCGATCGTGGAGCTTGCGTCCCTCGCAGAGATTCTGGAGCGCGGAGCAAACGCCAATGACGGTGGACAAGATCACCATATCAGCCTCAATGCCCCCTTCCAGATTCATCGCGTGGTAACACCCCAGGGCCTCGCGGTGATGCCCGTCGCGACACAGTGCCGAGATCATGATCGACCAGGAGAAGAGATTTCGCCCGGTCTGTGCCATCCGGTGGAACAAAGCCCTGGCGTCGCCGATGCCGTGCAGCTTCCCAAACATCTGGAGCGCCAAATTCCCCAGGAAGATGTCACCAGCATACCTGCTGTTGATCAGCTGCTCCAGGATCCAGCGGCATTGCGAGAGATTGGTGGCGCCGCGCAGTAGAGACGCGAAAGCGGCAGCATTGGCGCCCATAGTAAAACCCTAAAGCAATGATCTTGTTAGCTTTATGCTTTTTAAGGTTTAGGGGCTTAAACTGTTTTACACTTGGAGCTCAAGATAAAAAAAGTATAAGATCTCTAAAGCTGGATGAAGATCCAACCTCTAAAAACCTTTAAAAGAGTTGTGTTTCAAGAAATGAGATAGTGAGTATTTGTAGTGTACCTTTACCTTATTAGTGTTTTACCATAAGATAATTATGAAGTAGAATCTTAACTCTTGAACACGTGGCCCAAATACAATGGAGCAAAACTTAAATTTTAGAGCCTTAGGATGGAGAAACATAATTAAATTCTTAAGTATATAATTAAAGAGTGATGAATTAATGATATAACTCTTAAGTATATAACTAAAGAGTAAAAAAGCATGGAATGACATTAAAATAGTCTTAAAACATTTAACATCCTAATGTCAAAATTACCATGCAAAATAGAGCTGAACAGAGTTTAATGTTATTTTAGCATATCAATTGAAAATATAAGTACTCCACCAACTAACATTATATGTACCTTGGGCTAAACCAGACACAAAATAAAGACAAACATGCTAAGAAAGGAGTTAGAAAATATCCTAAATTGGTCAGCCATGTTGTTATTGGTATTGAATAATTTGCTAGTGCTGCAAGTGAAATGTCATATTGGATTACTTTAATATTTAATTAGACTTCTGATATAATTGAAGTTGAAGAAGAGGATATGAAGAAGCCTTTGATATCAAAATATTCAATCTTTTAAAAGTTCATTGTTGAGAATAAGAAAGACAAAAAAAATTACTATTTAAATATTAATAAAGAAGATAAGATGAATTTGTATTGAGTATAAAGTCCTCAAAACCCTACTTTAAAAGAGATCTAAAATCTAATTTGATGTAACCTAAGCTAATCCATAAGCGTAATCTAAGTATTAGCCCCAAATGCCCATCTATATGAATAGTAGATATCGAATTCAAATCTAATGAAGTTCAATTTTTGTAGTGGCCAGTAGTGCTAAAAATATTATTCAGTAAATATAAAGAAATGGTAAATATATGACAAAATCTAAATTACTTTAAGGAGGACAAAGAGCACTCAACCTAACACTAAACTAAGAACATGAATTATAAGTGTCAGAATTGATCAATGTGCTAGGAGAAAAAGTGCAATAGATGAGGAAGAAATAATAGAAATTTGAAGAGGCAAAGCCAAAAAAACAAGAAAAGGTTGGGAAAATGTAGAAGGCAAAAAGAAAAACTAAATGATTGACACATACCCTTCAAAATATTGAATTTATTTTTAAAGTTATTTTCAAAGTAATTGAATTTTTTATTAACAAGAATCCACTTAAGCTCATAAACATCATCTTCTTGATTTTCAAACATCTTCCAAGAAGCATTCACTTCACATTAGCAAAAGATATTATAATACCAAAAATAGTAAAAGCTGTGTAATTATGTCCCACTAAAGCTAGAGACATCAACACACTAAAGACTTAAATAAAATTAACAAAATAACACCTCATAACACCAAAACCTTGATTAATGTGTGATACAATAGTAGAAACAATGTTGCCTAAGGCCTTGAACAACATTGAGAAGAGTGTGGCATGATAAACAAAAAAAAAGGAACACAATGAAAATTAAAAAAAGAACAAATTTGATAGCAAATCCAATTTGCAATTACCTGTTTGCAGGGTTGGCTTAATGCACAAGGGAAATTATTTGTTTCATTCTCCCTTTGAGAGGTATCATAAAATATTCCTTGTATTTAAAAAAAGAGAATATACTTCTTATACATTATATAAATATATAAATAAAGCATAAATAAAGACATAGTTAATGTTTTTCTACAATATTCAAAACTGTAAGAAAAATAAATTATTATTAATTTCCTCTTAGATTAATTTAGCATACTTATTACATAGCATTTAAGTATTATATATAGACCATCTAATTAGGATTAAATATAATCCATCCATTTTTGTATATAAACAAACCCCAGTAATCTAAACACTCACAATTTCTGGAAGTAAGGGGTTTTATAGATTCCTTAGAGTTCAAGATTGTTGTTTTCGTTTTTATGATTCCCTTGTTCATTAATTAGATTTGTTGTAGTTTTTTCTTAGATTGAGGACCAAGTTTGTCAATAATTATTACAAGCGATATAATCACTATGACAAAATCTCGTTTTCTCGTTTCCTTGTCTCGGTCCAGCTTGCTTGTACGACTTTACTGGAGCCAGGTAAGTAGATATTTCACACAATACACAAGAACATTGTCCAGCGTATGTGACACAAGGCCGGCTATTTCTTTCGTGCTAAGGTAGGAGAATTTCTTCCTTGTTCCTCTGCTCTTTTTGGAGCAAAGAATAGAAAGAATGGAGCTTCTGTCCAGCATTCCAGCTTTCCTACAAGAAAACTGCTACTCGTTGTTGCTTGTATTGCTGCTTGTGATTGTCACTTCAAGATGGTTCTTCAGAAAGCCCAGCGATCTCCCCCCTGGACCATTTAGCCTGCCTGTGATTGGTTGTCTTCACTTGATTGGCCCTCTTCCTCATGTGTCTCTTCACGAGCTGTCTAGAAAGTACGGTGGCATTATGCATCTCAAATTTGGTACAGTACCGTTCGTAGTTGTGAGCTCTGAAGAAGCAGCAAAGGAGCTGTACAAGTATCGTGGCCTTGAGTTTGCTTCTAAAGTTCCTACTATAGCTGGCAGGCATTTTGGCAATGATTTCAATGGGATTGTTTATGCGGAGTACACTCCACAGCTGAAACTGTACAGGAAGATCGTCAACACTCATCTGCTCTCGGCAACCAGGCTCAAAGTCTACGACAAGATCCGCAGGGAAGAACAATGCAGTCTAGCGCGTTCGATTGTGTCTGCAGAAGGCACACCGATCAAGCTCAGAGACAAGTTCCACAACCTGAACGTGAACATCATCACTTACATGCTCTTCGGAGAGCGTTTCTACGGGGCGCATGCCAGGAATACAGCAGCACTTGACGCTTTTGCGGATGCAGTTATAGAAAGCTTAAGATTGTCAGGGGTATTCAACATCAGTGATTTCATCCCAGCAATCAAATGGCTGGACGTTCAACGCTTGGAGAAACGGTACAAGCAGCTGATAGCTAAGGTGAACGACTACTTGCTTTCTGTCCTGCAAGATCATAGAAGGAACCCTCGAAAGTATAGGAGAGATGAGCCTGTTCCGTTCATTGACATCCTCCTTTCTCTGGATTCAACTGAAGAAGAAGTTTCAGATATTACCAAGCTCTCCCTTCTCTTCGTAAGTGGTTTCCTGCTTTACACAATATATAAGTCATCCAAATTTGTTTCAGGATATGTTGCTTGGTGCAGTGGATACTTCAGCACTCTCACTGGAATGGGCCATCACAGAGCTCCTTCGTCACCCAGCCGTCATGGAAAAGGCCCGCAAAGATATAGATTCTGTGGTTGGAAGCAACAGATTGGTGGAAGATTCAGACTTGGATCAGCTACCATTCATCGCTGCAATCGCCAAAGAAACATTGAGGCTGCACCAGCTAGCACCACTGGCGCTTCCCAAGGTAGTCCGAGGAGGTCCTTCAAAACTTGGTGGCTACACCATTCCTAACGGTACCTGCGCCTTTGTCAACTTCCATTCGCTCGGCATCGATCCTGCACACTGGAAAGATCCAATGAAGTACCGGCCCGAGCGATTTCTAGAGGCCGACATCGACGTGTTCGGACAAGATTACAACTTGCTGCCTTTCGGATCTGGAAGGCGAATGTGCCCTGGAGCTAAACTTGGATTTGACACGCTGCAGATTGGCATTGCTACACTGGTTCAGGGATTCGAGTGGAAGTTGGCGAAGGGACAAGATCCAACTGAGATCAACATGGACGAGACTTATGGCTTGGTTTGTCACAAAACGCAGCCGCTCATTGCTGTTCCAAAAGCACGGCTTGAAAGAAGCGTCTATAGTAGCTAAGAGCAATCGCAGAGTACCTTCACGGTAAACCTCCCCCTCCTGCTTAAACTCAAGATCGCCTTGGAAATTGGAAGGCTTGAAAACGTTGAAATTGCTGGGAGATGTTGAAACGATTGTTTCCAGTAGCTATGGATGCCAGTGAACTTCTCTTAAGTCGCTTTGTCCCTGAAGAAAAGAGATAGATTTACTTCTCTTTGGAATATTAAAAAATCGATCTAAAAACTTTTACCAAGCTTTCAGGCAAGCCTTGAGGAAATTGTTTCACTTGTGCTTCTTGATGTGGGAAAGCTTTCAAATCCCACACACTGCTCATAACAACGATAGAATGTGAGCTAAACAGAGAAAAGAGACACACGCTACAAATTCATACTTTAACTGGTGGTCAACCGTGGAACTTTCATCAGAAGACCATTCGATGGAAGTTATTGAGGCAGAATGGTAAGCAGTCCTGCGAAATTTAGATATCGAGGAAGTATGGAATTTAAGCGCAAGAGAGAGTCTAGATGCCATACATGGATGGCATCGTCACCACCAGTGGCAAGCTGCCGTTTGAAACTGGGACTTTGGGGAACTTGACAGTGAAGTGTTTGTTTTTGAGAACTGTATACCTGTTCCAAGAGATCACGTTAGCATCTGTGTCATGGACTTTAACCACCGTTTTGCAAGTACCAGTGGAAACTCCCACAGACTGACTATTCCATTGGAGAAGCAAGCCGCAAGCTCAAAGAAATCCACCCTCAGACACCACTGATCATCAAGTTTATGTAAAAGCAACAAAGAAAGATTATTCACTTGCCTGGATGAAAGAAAAGCATGGCTTAGCAAAAGAAAAAGTTCAATCAATCAGTTCAAAGCACGACACGAGCTATCTGTGGTGCACCGAACTCCAATCCAGAGCAAATCCTTCCACCCCATGAGAAACAACTTGGAAGGGTACCTTGTTTGTAACCCGAGAAAAAGCACGGAAGTTCTAGCAAGAGGCTAGGAAGTCCCAAACCCAGTGAAAGTATGAGAGCAGTGTAAACCATGGCA